GATTCTACATGAAGCCTTGAACACTTTTCATAAGGACAAAGAAGATGCTTTAGTTTTTAAAGTTGATTTTGAAAAAGCATATGATAAAATAAAATGGCCCTTTGTTATACAGATGCTAAAACTGAAAGGTTTTCCAGACAAGTGGTGTGATTGGGTAATGGAAACAATGAGAGGAGGACATGTTGGAGTCAAGGTAAATGCTGAAATTGGCCCTTTTTTCAAAACCTACAAAGGTTTGAGACAGGGAGATGCTATGTCACCATTGCTTTTTGATGTGGCTGCAGATGCCTTAGCCATTCTTATGAAAAATGCTTTAGATTTGGATATTGTTAAGGGAGTCCTTAACAAAAATAATAATAAGGGTGTAAATATGTTGCAATATGCTGATGATACTATCTTTCTGATCAGAGATGAGGTTGAGAGTGTGAGAAACCTTAAATTATACTGGGGGCCTTTGAACAGATGTTAGGTCTAAAAATCAACTTTCATAAAAGTGAACTAATGCTGTTTGGAAAGGCCAAAGAAAAACAATTTCTCTAGCAGGAAATTCTGACATGTAAAATGGGAGATTTACCCATCAAATATCTAGGTATGCCTGTAGCTGAAACTAGGATCAGGAATGTACATTGGAGCTGTGTGATAGATAAAATTGAGAAAAGATGTGGATGTTGGCAAGGGAAGCTGTTAGGATCTATTGCTGGCAGGATCACCCTGGTCCAAGCTTGCCTGACTAATATTCCTCTGTTCATGATGTCCTTTTATGCTATCCCAAAAGGAATCATTAAAAAAGCTGATTTTTTCAGGGCTAGATTGGTGTGGCAAGAAGATGAGAATGTTAGGAAATATCATCTAGTTAATTGGAAGGAGTGTTGCCTACCCAAAGAGGTGGGGGGTCTAGGGATTCTCAATCTGGAGATGATGAACAAAGCCTTGCTAGCTAAGTGGTACTGGAAAATGGAAACAGAAGAGGGGATGTGGCAAGAGGTCCTAAAAAGGAAATATAATAATAATCGATGTCTAGCTTTAGTGGAAAAAACCCGGGAGATTCTCAGTTCTGGGCTAGTTTGCTAAATATTAAGAATATCTTCTACAAATTCGTGAAAAAAGAACCTGGGGAAGGGAAAAACATTAGATTTTGGGAGGACACTTGGGTGGATGACAAGCCCTTAAAAGATGCCTACCCTAGAATTTATGATATTTGTTTTGAGACCACAAAATTACTGTATATGAGGCCATCCAAAAAGGATGGAGAGGCTTCAAATTTAGAAGGACACTACATGGGGAAACTTTAGAGCTATGGAATGCTTTGAAAAGCAGATATGAGAAAATTAAAATGGATGGAGGGAAAGATAAGATCAAATGGACTCTGTCTGCTGATGGAAAATTCTCTGTTAAATCTTTATACAAAGAACTGATTACGTCTGGCTTAAAATTTCCATAGAAATACCTGTGGAAAATCAAAGTTCCTGCAAAAATTAAAGTCTTCCTGTGGTTAGTAAACAAGAAAAGTATTTTGACTAGGGATGTCTTACTTAAAAAAGGGTGGAAAGGGGGAAAGAATGTGTGTTTTGTGGACAAGATGAATCTATTGATCATTTAATGTTCACTTGCTCTACGGCTTCTTTGCTTTGGAGCCTGGTTAGATGTGTTTGTGGTCTGAAAACCATTCCTTTTAGTGTTAAAGAATGTTTTGGGGGATGGATTAGCAAATTCTGCAAAGAAGGTAAGAAAATGGTGATGGTTGGGGTTTCTGCTTTATTCTGGGCAATTTGGAAAAGCAGAAATGCAATTATTTTTGAGAAAAAAAGGATTAATAATCCTTTTCAAATAATCAAACTAATAGTTCGATGGTTGATTGACTGGTCCATTTTACAGACAAAGGAGCCACCAAGAAAACTGCTGGAACTGGAGGCAAGAGTACTAGAACGGGCAGCAAATGAGGTGTACACAGCTGGGCAGGGATGGCGAATCAATGTGGCAAGGCTACCCTGGATGATGGCTGCAACTCCTTCGTCTTCTGCTGCTGTTCCAAGTCCTTTTGTTGCCTGCTAGTTACTAGTTATTAGGTCAATGACTCTGTTAGATGTGTTGATGGACTTTGTTCATGTTGGGCCTGTGTTGGTCCTTTTGGCCGGTTTCAATCGTCTTATGTAAAATTGTGAACCTGTTTTGTGCTGCCTGTCCTTTGAATTCTGTAAGCCTGGTTTTCAGTAATGAAAATCGGAAGGGGAAAGCACTTCTTTGATAAAAAAAATATGGTTGCTCATGCTTGATAGGCTCTGGTGTGCCAATCGCTTGCAGCGCCGCGGCTGGCGAAATGACTACTTCTACTGGCTCTGCATGCGGAACTTGGAGACCTCGCTACACATTCTATGGGAATGCCAGCACGCTGGGACGATCTGGCAGGCGGCTGCTTCTTGGTCTGGCTGTGCGTCCCTAAACCCTGCATGCTGGCCAAAGGCAGATAATTCAAAAGAGCTTTGGTTATCAATTGTACCGAAGACGGCGGCAGAACACAAGAAGGGAATCAAGTCCATGTTGATACTGGTATCGTGGAGGATATGGCTGGAGCAAAACAGCAGAATCTTCAACAACAATATTTTCGCTGCGACCACCACACTACAAGAGATCCGGTAATATTTGGAAATGTGGAGACTGGGGGCTGCGAAATGCATTTTTAAACAAATCAAGTTTGTTGAATGCAATACTGTTTTTATTTCTCGCAAAAAAGCTGCTTTTTCTCCAATGTGTATTTGGTATTTTTTTTAGTGGAGTGTAGATGGTATTAGACTGGACTTTGGTTAACTCTCCTTCTCGATAGATACCGGGTTCCTGTTTTCCTCTCGTCCCTAGCGGCTGGAACCCTAGTCGCCGCCAGGGGAGGCCGATCTTCCAACGCCGCTCTCCGGCGGCCCCCTACACCGACGACCTCGGTCG